AGTTTTAAAATTATAAAAACTAAACATCCTACAGTATTTTTAGTCTTTATTTTACAGTTTAAATAAATGTTTATCAAATAAAGTCTGTTACAACTAATAGTAGATCCCTTTAAACTGAACTAAACTGTTAAGATGGACTTAAAACGATCTTAATATAGAGGACCTGTTGAGCTCTCATCAGGGCGGTGCGTCGATACATGTAGTCCTCAGACTTGAAGACGTAGACCATTTTATATGAATTGAGTTTGAACATGCACTTCATCTTCTCCTTTTCCAGGGACTTCTTGCCCCCCTCGCAAACCTCCTTGTCCAGCTGCTCTCTGCCTTTCTGGTACTTTCTGATCCGTCTCAGGTTCCTGGATGAGAGCGTGAAGAATCCAACAGGGAGCATGTTAAATAAGAAGAATCAATTAAAGCTAACTGAAACGAGCATGGCCTTGTGTTAGTGCAACCTGTACAAAATAATCAACCCGTATTTTATTTTGGCGGGTCAAACTGACGGCACACTTTTAAGTTATGGGTCATAGGTGAATTTGGATCTCCTCCATTGCTGTTGCTGCTGTCACTGTGGCTAGCTGCTTGTGTTGGCGTCTTCCAAAATCACAGAAGAATACGGCTGGATCAAGCCCACTTAACACAGCCGAAGGATTCTATTGGGTGTTTTCTGGCAACTGCTCGACGCTGAGTCGTTTGTTTTACGTACTTTGTTGTTTTTTTTAATAACAGAAATGCGGTAGTGACAAGCCCACTCAAACTATGTATTGGTGAGTCAAAAATGGTCTTATTGATTAAAAGGTCATTGTCTTTTTGTTAATTTTGTGGCCGAATGAATGGATGATATATCCTCAAAATATTAAATAGGCCCTTTGATGTTTGTAAATTTGTCCTTTTAGTTTTAGTCACCTTTCATTGATTTTGTTGATGGCCTATAGAAATCTGGAATTGGTTAATTTCTTTGGAGTTGCGGAGCAAAATGAAAGAAAAAAAAAAACAATTGTTTATTGAAACAATACTGAAGTCACTTAAGTTTATTTGACTCTAATGTCAATTAAACTTAGATACAACTTGAAAGTGCACTTTAATTTGATCTGTAACCTTGATCTGTAACATTAATGTGATCTTTAACTTGAAATTCATTTGAATGTTTCCTGAGAAATAATCTATGGAATTATTGGAATATAGCTATTTTTTTATTATTGTTGAATGTTTAGCTATTTCGGATAGCAGTTTAACCCTGTTTAAATGTGAATGCTAAATTTGTTTTTATTTTTATTTACGACCTTGTTTAGGTCAGGTTTTTTTCCACCCCGTTTCAACCCAGGATGGCGAGCTACAGGATCACCGCAGCTTTGCAGTAGGACTTAATTGAACCAAACTACTTTATTCATTCTGGACCTATTGTCTTGGATCATGGACTAAAAACAGTTGGATTATTGATTGATGGACCATTAATCACCCTGGATTCAAAAACGGACTTAAAAACGGAAAACAAAACTCTTGGGTGTTATCAGGGTTTATTGTTTTGTTGTTGTTTTTTTGTGTCTATTGGTTAAACTCATAGGAAATCGTTAGTATTATAAATATTATTATCGAACACCTTCATATACAGTATATACAACAGGTAAAATAAGTATTGAACACGTCACCATTTTTCTCAGTAAATATATTACTAGAGGTGCTAATGACATGAAATTTTCACCAGATGTCGGTAACAACCCAAGTGATCCATACATACAAAGAAATCAAACCATAAATGTCCAGAAATGTATGTAGGTATTTGTATGTAAGTATGTATATGAAAGTGTTTGGGTATGTAGGTAGGGGTATGGTTATGTAT